TCATTAGTCTGTTCAATCATTTCTAACATTTTAAAGCATCGTTTTGTTTTAGAATCATGTTCTTAAATCATTTTATTATATCAGAAACTGAAAAATCCTTAAACCAAATGAAATAAAAACTGAATTTATTATTTCTGCTTATTATCAGCTTTCTTCATTTAAAATAAACGTTTCTTACTGTTTTTTCTTTCAAAATGAATTGAACTGGTATAAAAATACATTTTTTGTGTTTTTTCTTCAGTTTTAGTTTGAAAGATTTAAACGTTTATACAAAGTGTAAAAACAGTGGAAAAACTCAACAACAACAATAAGATAACAGAGTTATTATATGAAACTGTTACAGAAGCTGAGGGATGAAAACACAGATTGTGAAAATGAGCAGAAGTTGATTCACTTGGAACACGTCACAGTTCTGGTTCTGCTCTGGTTCTGTTGGGTCGGTGCTCTTCTGTCAGACTCGTTTGTGGGCTCGAGGTGCATCAGGTTTCTTCTCTTCTGCTTTTGTCATGTAAAGCTTGTGTTGCGGTCCACAGTGGTTCTGACAGCGAGCGGCCCGCGGGTCACAGACGTCCTGTTGGACGTCTCTACAACCGTGTGGTAACTAAACAGTTGTTATAAAGAACCTCCTGAGCCAACCAGGCTGCTCACAGTGCTCCAACACAACCTGTGGCCTCATTTACACACACACGTTTGTGTTTCTATCCTTATTAGGACCGTTCATTGATTTCCATTCATTCCTATAACCTAAACCAAACCCCCAAACAAAAAATGGAGGTCCACCAGATCAGGACTGGTTTTCGGTCCACATAAGGACTACTGGTCCTAACAAGGTGTGTTTAACAGAAATGGTCCTAAAAAGGCAATACATACAAGTTCTCTCTAAATGCTGCTGCAGTGTTGCATCAGAGGGGTTCAGTTTTTTTGCTCAGGGGCACATGGTCATGTGACTGATGGACTCAAACCCCAGATTCTTATTAAAGGAGGACTGCTGTAAGCACTGAGTCACAGCAGCCCCAAACTGACTTATCTGCATCTAAAATAAAGCCATGAGAGCTGCAGGAAGGTGTGCTGAGTAAACATGTGGTCCTGCACTGATCTGTGCTAAAACCCAATCAGCTCACATCAAGATGCTTCCTTCAAAAACTAAAATACATTTCAAATATGGACAGTTTGAAAACAAAGTTTCTTCACTTTGTTGTAGCAGTTAATAAGTGAAACTAATACAGCTGGATTAAATCAAATTTGGTCAAAATGACTTGATTTCATTTTCAGACCCCTGATCTAAGCTGAGATCATGATGCCTCCATCTGTCTTCCTAATCAGAACTCACCTATATTAATTTTATGCTAATATCTGCTCTGAATCCCATTTTTAACTTTTTCTAATGAGGAGTTCTTTACGTCAAACAATACTTAGTGATTAAAATTTACCACCTGGAAAGAAAAAAAGTGCTACCTCGCACACAAAATGATAAAATAATTTCAAGCTTTTTCTGCTTAAATTCATTTTTTGTAGCTACTTAAAAAATTATCTAAAATCACCTTTCAGATTTTTCAATTAAATGACCCGTAGATAAGGTATTTATTATAACTGGACAACATGCAATTGTTGCAAATGTTTTAACCAAAACACTATTTGTCCACATCAGGACCACTTTGGGACTTGATCCTCAGTTTGATGCGACGCCTCCAATTCTGTCTGAAGCTCAGGAGTGAAATGTGGCAGAAAACAGAGAAATACTAAACATTTGAACCTAATGTTCATCTAATATTCTGCATATTATGAATGACTTTTTGCTGATTTAGTATAAGTACTTACTAATTAGAGTGGTCACACTAGAAGTGAAGTGTTTCATCATCAGCTGATCTGTTTGATTATAAAGAGTCAAAACCTGCTGTGCTTTAAAACACTTTTATTTAACAAAAGCAGTGCACAATAAGACAGACTGTAATATTTTAATGATTTCTGTCGTACAGTGCTGATATCAGCTGAGCTGCCTGCTTGTTGCAGGTTTACAGATGGAACTATCCAGCTGCTGACTGGTTGAAGCACAAGATTCAAACTGGCATCCAGTTCGTCTCCTCCCAGAGGAAAAGACGAAACAAAAAAGGACATTTACGTGTTACAGCCATGTCTCTAACACATCACTCCACAATCAGCTGGTCCACACAGACACGTCACGTTGTCTACGTCTGACGCTCCTTACAACAAGAATGCTGCAGGAAGTAGGGGTGCAGAGGGTGCCGAAAGACAGGGATGTCCATGTTTGGTTAAAGATTTAAAAGTCTAGTAATCTTTGAAAGAAATGCTCATCACCTGCCGCAGTTCATGCTGGAGTTTCAGACTAGTTTTGATCAGGACTTGTCTTTTAACCCCCACATTAAAAATGTTACCAGGACCACCTTCTTCCACCTGCGTAAAATCACTAAAATTAGAAATATTTTGTCCAAAAATGATGCAAAAAACCTGATCCATGCATTTATCATATATTGTTTTCGTACTGTTTATTTATTTATTTATTTTTTCAATGATTTTTGGTCAACTGTAGCACAAAAACGGCTGCACCGGTCAACATGAAATGTGTCAGGACTGTAGATGAGTCCGACCTACAC